TGGAATAGTGGCGGATGGCCTAGCCAAAGGAGGTGGCGGATGACCCAGCCAAACGCACCACATCAAAACCACGAGTTGACGTTCAATGTGTTTTAATGAGGTAAATAAGAAGCAAAATTAGAAATATTCAGGCACAGGCAGAAGTGGCGAGGAGAGGTATAATATATGAGGGAAGTCAAACCATGCAACACTACATGCGAGTCAAAACACCAACATTTCACTTATGGTAAAAGGAGAAATGCTTGGAGTGACTGTGTATATGCGGCTCAGGCTTGGGTACAAATATTACTGGGAATATGGGACAGCTGTTAATGATAATGACACCAAGTGTAAACTATGTGGTATGTTACGGTCTCACACCCTCACCCATTATGTTCTTGATTGTCCGTTGATTAATGTACAGTATCTAGAAACACTGAGATAAGGACTGTTCCTGAACAAATAGCCTGGATGTGTCAGAATGGAAAGATTAATGATATTCTGGAGAGATATAAGAATTTTGTACCAAGATTGTAACCTTTTGTTGAATTGTCTGAATGTCTATTGCAATTTGTCTATGTATCTCGTCTTACAAGTACTGTATTTGTGTGTACGTCTGGTAACATACTACATGTGTAAAGGAAGAAATGTATATGTTTATCACTCATAATGTTAGGTAATATGCTTATTGTTTGTGATGTGTGACATATATATATATATATATATATATATATATATATATATATATATATATATATATATATATATATATATATATATATATATATATATATATATATATATATATATATATATATATATATATATATATATATACTGTATATATGAACACGGTGTACTGAACGGAGTGAGAATAGCTTGAGCTACCTCATCCCTTTGAGTGTATTTACACCTCAATAAATGTACAGTATTTCAATTTCAATTTCAAAACCTTGAGTACTGTTCGGTACTCGCTTGCCGTTTCAGAACAGGAGAACTTGTTGAAATAGATTACAGGGAACATATACGGTAGATAATAAAGCATCTAAATTATTGGGACTGCCTCAACGCTCTCAAAATGTTAAGAGCTTTGAAGCAGTCAAATATATATACTTTCTAGAATATATAATATACTCTAGAAAGACGAGAGGGGTATCAAATAATATAGACATGGAAGTTACTGGAGGGCAGGTCCCAAATTTGCACAGTAAAATAACATACTGGTGAAGAACGATATGGAAGAAAATTGAGAATAGGGCCAGTACGAAATAAGAGGCGCCATAGGCACAACTGGAGAATACTGTATGGACATCAGAGGTCCACGGCTATTCAATACCTCTCAGCAAACATAAGAAATATTGCCTTAACAAAAGATGAACTTCAAGAAACTACTAAGTTCCTGCAAGAACAGAGTTGGACCAACAGAGTTGTACTTGATATGTGGGCCTGCGGGCCGCTCACAGCAACAGCCTGTTGGACCGAGTAATTACAAGTCAAGCCTGGCTCCAGGCAGGCCTTGGGTGAATAGAAGAATTGTATCCGGGTAAACTCTTTGTGACAGTAGTTCCTTCATAATTTCAGATATTTAGTTGGGAGTATCCCCGCTACCTCTGATGTTTAATTAATTCCTGATGTTATTTTATTCCGACCGGTATACCTGCCAAACCACTATACACATCACTCGTATTTACGCTGTTTCCTAATAATTAAGTTTACATTTCAGGAAAAGTAGGAAGGGCCAATGACAAGCGAGATACTGGAAAAAAAGTTGATTGAGTTTGCTGGATGGGCGATTCTTTTCAGACTAAATTATATGATTGTTTTTTTAATTATTTCCAGCGCAGATGTGGACACGGGACGAGGTCGGAGAGTGCTATGAGTGTGACAATGGACACCCAAGATACATTTCTCCATTCAAAACAAAGATTACTAACGTTAGAATTGTTGTGGGTCCCATAGTTCGCATCCACAAATGTTTAGGCATTACTTAAAAACTTTACTTTCAACCAGGTATCAAGATGGCCAAATTCACTAATGGTGACATTTCCTCTGACCTTCTGGTCTATAATAACTATAATAACAGAAAAAATTAACAAGTTGGACCTTTGGGGATATATATGAACCAGGTGTTTTTCAGAACAGGAATTTCTTTGCCTAGTAATTTTAGTTTGAGACTTCGATAAAGCTATTTGTGTGAGCTAAAATCAACTACATCACATATGGTATGATTCACGTTAGGTTGTATGCTGCAATAATATATATATATATATATATATATATATATATATATATATATATATATATATATATATATATATATATATATATATATATATATATAATGTCGTACCTAGTAGCCAGAACGCACTTCTCAGCCTACTATGCAAGGCCCAATTTGCCTAATAAGCCAAGTTTTCATGTATTAATTGGTTTTCGACTACCTAACCTAACCTAACTTTTTTGGCTACCTAACCTAACCTATAAAGATAGGTTAGGTTAGGTAGGGTTGGTTAGGTTCGGTCATATATCTACGTTAATTTTAACTCCAATAAAAAACAATTGACCTCATACATAATGAAATGGGTAGCTTTATCATTTCATAAGAAAAAAGTTAGAGAAAATATGTTAATTCAGGAAAACTTGGCTTATTAGGCAAATCGGGCCTTGTATAGTAGGCCGAGAAGTGCATTCTGGCTACTAGGTACGACATTATATATATATATATATATATATATATATATATATATATATATATATATATATATATATATATATACATACATACATACATACATACATACATACATACATATATATATATATATATATATATATATATATATATATATATATATATACTGCATTTCACATATTTCTATCAAGTTTGCCATAGCCTCATTGGTCGGTGCAAGTAGAACTAGATCATATTACGACCACCATAATTGCTTATAGACCAACCTTAATTATATTAATCATAATTAACCTAGATCAAATTAAGACCACCGTAATTGCTTATAGACCAACCATCAAATTTGGTGTTGGGCTTAAATCTTATATCTCTGAAGGCTTAAGGCTACCATAATACCTTACTGACCAACCCGCAAGTACACTTTAGCCCCTGAACGAAGTAAAAAGAGTGTTCATGCTGATATGGCGGTGTGTTCACTCACAGGATGAGTGACGCTGACCAATACTGTCACTATGGCGGTGTGTTCACTCACAGGATGAGTGACGCTGCCCAATACTGTCACTATGGCGGTGTGTCCACTCACAGGATGAGTGGCGCTGACCAATACTGTCACTATGGCGGTGTGTTCACTCACAGGATGAGTGGCGCTGACCAATACTGTCACTATGGCGGTGTGTTCACTCACAGGATGAGTGGCGCTGACCAATACTGTCACTATGGCGGTGTGTTCATTCACAGGATGAGTGGCGCTGACCAATACTGTCACTATGGCGGTGTGTTCACTCACAGGATGAGTGGCGCTGACCAATACTGTCACTATGGCGGTGTGTTCATTCACAAGATGAGTGGCGCTGACCAATACTGTCACTATGGCGGTGTGTTTACTCACAGGATGAGTGGCGCTGACCAATAAACTCGCCCTTGGGCCAAATTTTAAAATATTTACCAAAGCAAACTCGATATATGTACACCGAGAAGCGGTGTACACCTCTGTGCATTTACAACAAGAAGCGGTGTACACCTCTGTATTTACACCAAGAAGCGGTGTATACCTCTCTGCATTTACACAGAGAAGCGGTGTACACCTCAGAACACACACACCGAGAAGCGGTGTACATCTCTGAACATACACACACACAGAAGCGGTGTACACCTCAGAACACACACACCGAGAAGCGGTGTACACCTCAGAACACACACACCGAGAAGCGGTGTACACCTCAGAACACACACACCGAGAAGCGGTGTACACCTCTGAACACACACACCGAGAAGCGGTGTACACCTCTGAACACACACACCGAGAAGCGGTGTACACCTCTGAACATACACACATAGAAGCGGTGTACACCTCTGTGTATTTACACCAAGAAGCGGTGTACATCTCTGAACACACACACCGAGAAGCGGTGTACACCTCTGAACATACACACACAGAAGCGGTGTACACCTCTGAACATACACACACAGAAGCGGTGTACACCTCTGAACATACACAGAAGCGGTGTACACCTCTGAACACACACACACAGAAGCGGTGTACACCTCTGAACACACACACAGAAGCGGTGTACACCTCCTCGCCAGATACTCAAGAGGAACACTCTAGGACCCCAGAACAGCTCCAGAGGCAGAGTACACTCTTGTAAGTCAATTATCAATGAATAATTTGTAACCTGAACGAAATATCAAATTTTTTTCACAAATTTACAGCAGTTTTCTTTTCCTAAAAATTCGCGCTTTGTCATACTGTTTAGCCATTACCTGCGAAAGTGTTAGCATCATGCCCACAGCTCCTTAACACCTGTTAACATCACGCCCACAGCACCCTAACACCTGGTTAGCATCACGCCCACAGCTCCTTAACACCTGTTAACATCACGCCCACAGCACCCTAACACCTGGTTAGCATCACGCCCACAGCTCCCAAACACCTGGTTAGCATCACGCCCACAGCTCCCAAACACCTGTAAACATCACGCCCACAGCTCCCAAACACCTGTAAACATCACGCCCACAGCTCCCAAACACCTGTAAACATCACGCCCACAGCTCCCAAACACCTGGTTAGCATCACGCCCACAGCTCCCTAACACCTGTAAACATCACGGCCACAGCTCCCTAACACCTGTAAACATCACGCCCACAGCTCCCAAACACCTGTAAACATCACGCCCACAGCTCCCAAACACCTGTAAACATCACGCCCACAGCTCCCTAACACCTGTTTAGCAATGGTCGTGCGGTGAACGAGATTAATCACTTCAAGTGTGTGTGTGTGTGTGTGTGGAGCTCGAAGTTCCAGGTAACTGTTGAATGGAATTTGGCTCACCTTGGATACTTGTGCTCGCTGCCCATGCTGCTGGAGGCCCGTGAGGTGTGAGGGGTGTGAGGGGTGGCACCGCTGCCGCCGCTGCTGCTGGCACTCTTGCTGGTAGCAGCCCCGTCGGTGCCTGCCCGAGCCCCGTCGGCGACTGCGGCAGCCTCGTCGGTGGCTGTAATAGCAGGACTGGAGTGCGTACCGCCTGCGTCTTCCGGTCCACCTCCTGCATTCATCACTCCACAGCACCCACAATCATCAAAACAATCCACTCACAATCAAATCACAGCCAGACGCCCGCCTCAACCGAGCATCTTAAAGCACTTCACCTAAACATCGCTACACATCCGTCGGCGCCGTTATACCTCTGCGTCAACGAGTTTCAACGAAATGAAGTTGCAAACACGCGGAAATAAGGGTGAGAAGAGCGTAGACAGCGAGCTACGCATCACACGGCGATCCTGCCACAACTAACCTTCACTCTGGCTCGTGACAACATTAGCTTGGCCTCCAAACTCTTCGCGGCAGTTATAATTCGCGTTCCTTCCATCTTTTATCCTTTTCTCTACTTTATCTTAACTTGCTTATCAGCATTGCATAAAGCAAGTTATAAGAGTGGATTACAAACCATGTACATGATCCTGAAGGAAGTAAATTATGTGTACTTATTTATAGTGAAATCTATTTTGTTCCAAACACTATATAACTATCTCAATTCTTTTAAGATTATCTTACGATCCGAGTCAATGTCTTACGATTCAGCGTCTTACAAGATTCAAATCAATGCACTAAATAACAAACAAACTTCAGTAAGATCTCTTCTACCCTTAATAAAAAAAACGACAAATGAATAGCTAACTTTGGCAAAGTTGATCACTTTCTCCGCGTGCAATGGACGTCAGGTTGTCATGAGACCCACGTATGCTTCTAACTTTGACACCACGCTTTATTGATTAACACGATACAAGTCGCATCCTAAATAGCCTAGGTTTGCCAACGAATTTCTTAACCTAACACAGCCGTAGCTAATACACCCTAACCTACCCTACCCCAAGGTAATACAACCTAACCTAACCTAAGCTTATGTGGGCCATCGGGCCGCTCCAGGCAACTGCCTGTTGGAGCAAGTTATCAGAAGTTGAGCCTGGCCCCAGGCCAGGGAGCGGGGAGTAGAACAACTCTCAAAACTCCCTGTGCCAGGTAAGTCCACTACGGGCTCACCATAGCCCGTGCTAGTTGGAACTTGTTCCGAGTAGCTGAATCTATAACAACAACTCTCCAAGTATACAACCTTAACCTAATGATATATACAGTTTTGACAAAACAGAAAATGTTCTTTGTAAAACCGTCTTGTGTATGATTTGACTATAGGCCGGTTAACATTTAAAATTCTAGGTAGTTTATATACATAGATTTGATAAATCCTCTTTGACTTTTATTATGTCTTTGTCAAGAACGTGTACGTTTATTTAGCACCAATGTTGTCAAAACGATGTAAACATATATAGCGTAGTAGTTGCAGCTGACTTCATTCATCCCCGATCCACAATCGGGGACCTTTGGTTCCATTCCCGGGTGAGACAGAAATGCTTGGGCAAGAATCCTGTCACCTAATGCACCTGTTCATCTAACAGTAAATAGATACCCGGGAGCTATAAGCTTAAAGATAGCAATATTATATATATATATATATATATATATATATATATATATATATATATATATATATATATATATATATAATATATATATATATATGTCGTACCTAATAGCCAGAACGCACTTCTCAGCCTACTATTCAAGGCCTGATTTGCCTAATAAGCCAAGTTTTCATGAATTAATGTTTTTCGTCTACCTAACCTACCTAACCTAACCTAACCTAGCTTATTTGGCTACCTAACCTAACCTTACCTATAAATATAGGTTAGGTTAGGTTAGGTAGGGTTGGTTAGGTTCGGTCATATATCTACGTTAATTTTAACTCCAATAAAAAAAAATTGACCTCATACATAGAGAAAAGGGTTGCTTTATCATTTCATAAGAAAAAAATTATAGTAAATATATTAATTCAGGAAAACTTGGCTTATTAGGCAAATTGGGCCTTGAATAGTAGGCTGAGAAGTGAGTTCTGGCTACTAGGTACGACATATATATATATATATATATAAATATAAATATATATATATATATATATATATATATATATATATATATATATATATATATATATATATATATATATATATATATATTACACACTGTTTTCCTGTTCCCGACAAAATGAATTTAAACAGTAGTTGATGATGTATAGTGCAATAGTTGATCATGTATAGTACTGTAGCTGAACATGTATAATACTGTAATTGAACAAATATAATTCTGGAGTCTAAGAATCATTCATCATGGGTTCCCCCATGATATTTTCGTCCGCGTTCCAAAATGCATGGATAAATATCAATACATTTTAAAACGTGAGTGAATGTTTCCCAACCAAAACACCAAAGGGAATTTCAAGCCAATATAAGGTATTTATCCTCATCCAATTCCATTATAATAGGCTCTTAAAAAAGGTAAAAACCATCAGGACTCAAATTTGTCTTTTTTGTTTTATGATACATATAAATGCATTCATAATTGACGGTTGCATTTGTATAGGAAACATATAATTCGCACCCCCATTATGAGCCACTAAACTTTATCATTGTTTACAGTCGGTAGCACATAATAGCCTACTTGTTCACCTTGAAAATGTATCAATATTTACAAACGTCAATATGATGTTGATCTCTTTATCAATGTTATTCTAAATAAGTAGTTATAGCCTGATGGTGTGCAAGCTGGGCTTGTTGACACGCACTCCCATGCCTCCTGACCCCTTGTCCCATGTCCTCCCACGCTCAGTACTCCCCTCCCACGCTCAGTACTCCCCTCCCACGCCCACTGACACTCTCCCACGCCCACTGACACCCTCCCACGCCCACTGACACCCTCCCACGCCCACTGACACTCTCCCACGCCCAGTGACACCCTCCCACGCCTAGTGACACCCTCCCACGCCTAGTGACACCCTCCCACGCCCAGTGACACTCTCCCACGCCCAGTGACACTCTCCCACGCCCAGTGACACCCTCCCACGCCTAGTGACACTCTCCCACGCCCAGTGACACTCTCCCACGCCCAGTGACACCCTCCCACGCCTAGTGACACTCTCCCACGCCTAGTGACACCCTCCCACGCCCAGTGACACCCTCCCACGCCCAGTGAACCCTTACCTACAGCCAAGTAAATAAGAATAATACATCCAGCAATTAATAGATCTAATAATACCATCCAAGTTTAATTTCCCGAAAAAGCTAAACAAGGGGTGAAGATGGGAGGTGGGTAAAGGACTAGAGGCTGATTGTTGTTGTTGTTAAAGATTCGCTACCTGGAACAAAAAGTTCCAAGTAACACGGGTTATGGTGAGCCCGTAGTAGAAAAGGCTGGTGTTCCTGGGGTACTAGCGTGGGCGAGGTGTGGCAAGGGCAAGCTCTCAGCCTGCAAGCAGGAGTCGCCAATCATCTGTTACGTGTGGCAGTACACAATGGAAAGTTGTTTTCAAATATTCGTTCAATAAAACATTGATTTGTAACCATGATATACTTATGTGCCAGTTTAGACCTATTGTCTTGTGTATGACCCTCTGTCCTGCGTGACAGTGAATACCAGCATGATCCTCACTTTAATAGGACTTAATTGAAATCCTCAGGTTAGGCAAAATTATAATTAATTTTGTCAATAAAGATAATAATAATAATAATGGTCTGTTCCTATACCCAACGGTGTAAAGAAAAAAAGATTGGGTAAGCTTTTATTCAGCGCTTTAATTCATTAAATATAATTAATATTTATTGACTTTATTTAGTTAACGCTTAACAAAATGGTCCACAAAAGCTTCACATTACAAAATAATACAAAACTTGCCTAATACGAGAATATACTAAATAATTTGAACATTCTAATGTCCAGGAGTTCGTTCAGACCATCAGAAGATACTTCACTACACGGCCATACTCATTAATATCATAGGCCTATCAGTAGGCTTACCAGTCATTAATCTCTGACATTACCAAGGAAGCCATACAAAAAAGTTGAATTTATTATTGTATAAATTTAGTCATCTTATGTTTAACATTCTGTATTTGTTTAATACCATTTACTGAATAATACAAAATATAAAACCATTATGGTACAAAATACAAACCTAAAAATATCTAAATTAAATTCCAGCTCTAATATATCGTAAATTTTAAATTAAACAAGATACTCTGTATACCTGGCCCAGCCACTTGGGCTGGAAGGTAGAGCGACGGTCTCGCTTCATGCAGGTCGGCGTTCAATCCCCGATCGTCCAAGTGGTTGGACACCATTCCCTCCCCCCATCCCCCCCCCCCGTTCCATCCTAAATCCTTATCCCTTCCGAGTGCTATATAGCCGTAATGGCTTGGCGCTTTCCCTTGGTAATTCCCTCCCTCTGTATACCTGAAGCATACATGGAGCATATCGGGAGTATACCTGGAGAGTTTTTCGGGACTACTAATACTCTCCGAGCCCGGCCTCGACTTGAGATAATTTGGTCCAACAGGCTGTTGCTTGGAGCGGCCCACATATCCACTACAGCCTGGTTGGTCCAGCATTTCTTGCTGTCCAAGTACCTCTTGAATACATCCACCTTTCGTTCCAGCAATATTTATAATGCTTGCTGGGTGTTGAACAGCCGTGGACCTCTGATGTCACACAGTGCTCTCTGACTGTGCTTATGGCACCTCTACTCAATTGTTCTGCATTTCCTTCCGTATCTTTCACTCCAGTATGTTGTTATTCTACTGTGCAAATTTGAGACCTGGCCCTCCAGTATCTTCCATGTATATATTATTTAATACCTTTCTCGTCTTCTTTCATAGAGTACATTTTGAGAGCTTTGAGACGGTCCCAATAATTTAGCTGTTTTATCGTGTCTATGCGTGCCGTATATGTTCTCTGTATTCCCTCTAATTCATATATCTCTCCTGCCCTGAGAGGGGAAGCGAGTACCCAGCATTACTTAAAACGGTACAGTAACAGCGATTTAAATAGTATTTACATTGCTGAACTTGGATTTGAACGTTCTATATTATATATCAGAAAATGTCTGTCCGAAGTTGGAGGCCAGACTCTTGGGCTAACTTTACCAAATTTTCTTTAGTAATTGCTACTGGGTCAGTGTCCATCATGGACGGGTTGGGATCAGAGTCAATGAAAACAGTGCCAAGTGGCACCATACCAACGTCACCTCCCACACGCATACCCAATAACGCATATATACCATACCACGCATATATAACTGAATAATAAACAAATAATAATGATTATAATATTGAAAATCGTATTTACTAACCACACCAAAATTTATACAATAATAATATTCATTAAATCCCTAAAAAAACATTGATTTGG